GAGGGGAGTTGGCTGCTCTGCTACCTTAGAGCAAGAACGTCTTGGCTTGGAGTCCAGGCCTGGGGGTTTTCCCGTGGAGTTTGCATGTTCTTCCTGTGAACATGCAAGTTTTCCCTGGATTCTCCAGCTTCCTTCCATGTTCCACAAGGTAGTGCATGTTAGGTTGATTGGTCTAATAACGTAGAAAAGTAGCCCCTGCTCCAAAGTTGAGATAAGCATCCTTGTACTCAGATCAGTTGCAGCACTTTGCAGGCATTGTTGGTGAAATAAACGGCAGCCTTCCGCAAATACCTATGCTATCATATTCAGGGAAGCACACCCACCTTTTGTTCTTGATCATCAGCCTGATTAAAGAATCACTGCCAATCAGAGAAGCAGCTTCACCCACTGAAATCAGAATCACTAGAGGAATACTTGTTTGTGTGTTTGGCGCAGGGGGTTTTAGAGCTACTGTTCATTGTCTGCGATTATCACCAACAATTCTCCCTTCATTCCCTGCACCTGATTGCACCAACAAACGAAATGTTGGAAGGGAGCAATCAGACAGGCGGGCTGAAGTGTCTGAGTACAGATGTGCTCCAGTAATTTACTTTGCCTTCTCAGATGATGCAATCATGCCACACTTGTGTGGTTGATGAGAGGGTTTTATAGGTCTACTAAAGTAATTTGCACCTGCAAATGTGGGAAAATTACTATGCCAAAAGCATCTTTGGCAACGTTGTACAAAAGTGTGCACATTTTGGTTACATTGCTAAGTTTGTGTGGTGTAAAAAAAAAAAAAAGTACTTGATAATATTTGCCCTACTCCAAATTGCAAAAGTTAATCAAATCTGGTCGACTGTTGGGAAATCTCTTCTCCACAGCCCACTTCAGCTGACGTCACAGATTTAGATCTGAACTATTGCTGATTACTGAACGATTGCCATATACCAAAAATATATCTTCATCTAGAGGTTTCTAGCAGATATCTCCAGATTTTGCATCACTTTAACTATTTTTAGTTTATTCAGAGAAAATACTAAGTCTCTCCAGATCATGATACTGCCACCACCGTGTTTCACTGTTGTCAGTGTTCAGGCTGAACCAAACCTATTACTTGTAATCGTTTCCCAAAGTTCAAGCTTTGTTTCAACCCAACACTGAGCTCTGAAACCTCAGCTAGACAACTGGAAGACCAAATTTAATTTTCAACGTCTCTGAAATAAAGTAATTTTGTAATATTTAAAAGTATTAACAAGATGGCAATGTCTAGGATTATCTAGCCTTTTTCTTTGTGATTCACAGTGGTTCTCAAAAGTTTCCAAACTCCTGCTAAAAAGCCAATTTTTCCAGTCTTTATTGCGATGCATATGCTGCACAATTCAGCTGAGAAAATAGGGAATAAAAGAAATTAAATTGCTCCATATGCCTGCTTTCAGAAGTGTACACATCCTTGATCTAATGCTCATCACTTTTTGATTCAAAAGCAGCATCCAGTCTTATTTGGTACGGATCTATCAGCACCCACCCACTGACTTGCAAATGCTCTCCAAAATCTGTCACGTTGTGGCGACATCCGTTATCCACAGACCCTGTTCATGTGATGCCACAGATTCTCTCTCAGTTTTAGTCCTGAACTCCAGCTTGGCCTTCTTCTGGTTGCCATTCTGCTGTTGATTTGGATGCGTGCTTGAACCGTGTGATCAAGAAAAGTAAAACCTTTATCATCAGCTTTCTAGTAGACCCCCAAAGTTGAACTGATGTGTTTAAAACTGTTGATGCTTTTATTCGTTTTAACAGAAAGCTCGGTTCCATTTGAGGAAAAGGGATAAAAATGTATATCATCTTCCACTGGAAGATTTTGGTTATTTTGGATATACAACACATCTCTTCACCCTACTACTTTGTCCAGAGAAATAAATACAGCACAGTGAGTTGCTGATCCATGTAGAATATTTGTATTAATCTTGACATTTTGTCATAACGAAGTCCAGTTTTTTGCAGTTTTCTGTAATCTCATATTCCCTCAAATTATTAACAACTGTCCACCACACTGTGTTAAAATTTTTATTATTATTATTTTTAACCCTGCTGGCTGATTGAACAATGAGATTATCCTGATATTTTCAAAACTCAATTAACTACATGATGCAAATTTAACAAAAAAATAAATAAATAAATTACTGTCAAGTGCTAATTTAAGGTCTTGTCAACTCATTCTAGCTATTTTCATTTAATTTTTTTCCACTTGAATCATGTATTGCAAATCACCCATTATACAAAGAAAAGTTTAAAAATGATTTTTAATGGTCTTGCATTAAAAAACATGACTAATAAAAGGACCACGCATATACCAGTGTCCTTCTGTCAGAGCGATCAGGCTTTCCTAAATGTTTCATGCATATGGATTATTTCATGTTCCACTGATTACTCCTAGGGCCCTGCCTTCCTCTTAATTGTAATGGCTTCATTAGGATGCACATATATTCTGAATCTCTGCCGGATAGCCGCCCTCTCTACATTTTAATGTGACCTCTCAAGCACCCGGCTAATTGAAGGCACAGAAGTCTTCTTGGAAATACTTAAATTTCTATCTTTTCCCTGAGTGCTGCTTTGTTCTGACGCAGGTCTCCAAACCCGGGAGGGCGGCTATGCATACACGCATGCAGCTTTGTTCCTCTTGTGCGCGTCGAGTGTCGGCTAAAGGCCGGGAGCTAATCAGCAGCGGCACGGACAATGAGAAACAGCAATTACCGTCTGGTGGTCTGTGATCACAGACGTGTGGGCGAGCATGACTTCGAGGAATACGGTCTCTCGTTCTGATGGTCAGCCCCATTTCTCAAGAAGGACGCCGAGGCTGAAGTCCAAAATATTCAGCTGAAATGGACGAATGAACACGGTTCGTGTAAAATGTTGAACGTTTTCTGAATACCTTCAGACAAGCTTCTTTTGCTTCTTTGACCTGATAAAACAAAACAAGATTAATTTACGCTAAGAAAAAAATTGAAAAATAGCAACAAAACGGTTCAAAAAATAAGATCTCATCTTATATTAATATCCCTGCTGACATCATTATACAATAGCGGCAAGGAAGACATTGGGAATAACTTTAGAGTCCTTGTCAAATGGCGTTTTGACTAAAAATCTGTTTTTTTCAAATTCCAATCTTTTTTTCTTTCAAAATCTCTTTCTCTTTCTTACTGTTTATTCAGTGTCACATGCTGTAAAGCACTTTGAAATGCCTTGTTGCTGAAATGTGCTATACAAATAAAATTTTATTTCATTTTTGATTTACCTAATTTAATCGTCCTTTGTTTTGTTCTTTCATATTCTCATTTTTTACAAAGTTGCTTTTTAAAATGGGGAAACAATCTCCATTGCTTTGATAGGAGATGTGATTTCAAAACATGAACACCAGATTCCAGGTAACACTTGAAGGCTTCAGAGTCCTCAAGTTGCCAAAATCTTTTTAAAAGGAATAAAACTGTGTCACTAACTTACAATTCAAAAAAATCATGAACACATTTTCACATTTTGTCATATTAGAACCACATTCTGTTGAGAACATAAAGTAATAACACAGCTATGAAAGGAAATTAAAACAGTCTTCAGAAATATTTTTCAAATTAAATAGAGCTGAGATGGATTGTTGCAAAGTGAAAAAAAACTGAGAAACTCTAAACAGTTTTTGTCATTTTATATCTGACTTTTTTGAGTTCAAAAACCGTCTCCAACCATTTGTGCCAGCCAAAAATTTAAGGTTATTTTCTCAATTTGAATTTTACTGTAAAGAGATGTGTTCATATGACTCCATTAGACGTTAGCTACAAATGTATCCTGGTTTCTTCAGGGATTTAAGTTTTACTTCAACAGGAGCCCTCTTGTGAGGTTTTCCAGTTTTCCTTCCTTGTCATTGTCCTTCTCCATATTTTTTTCTGCAGAGAGTATAGTAAGCAGCTTCAAACCAGCAATCCCTGCTCTCATTATGACATTAATGAGAGAGGGAACAGTTTTTTAAAAAATCTGTTCGCTTCTCTGTGTTAGCGCACGGATCATAGGAACAGCTGTCAGCTATTCTAGCCACGCTGCCGTGTTGCTGCGACTCCCCGAAATGTCATTAAGTTCAGCTGATGCATTTGTGCAACGAAAACATCCTCCCTTTTAAATGTCACTCGGACTATTCGCCGGCTGCGCTGTGAAAAACGTTATTGCTTCTTGCCATTTGTCGTAGCACATTCTGCAGCTGGGAGGGCACGTTTGTTTATCCGCGCGACACGTACCGGGGCGTGGAACAGGACGAGAAGGACGTCCGTTGCCATGGGAAAGGTGAGGAGGGCAGGTGAAGCTGCTTTGTTGTGGGGAATCCCCACCGGCATGGCTTTAAGTCATCTGAAGGGAGGGCCACTTCCATAACCAGATATGTTGTTTAGAAGTAAATAAAATTTTTTGCAAATGTCTCTTTTATGTGTTGAACATTTCACCTTCCCTGTTGTCAGCTTCTTCCCCCTACCATTGCTCACCCTGACTCTTCCTGAGAGGGAGGTTTCAGGCCTAAATGTGTGCATGGACACAGATTGATTTAGCAGGGACACCTTTCTAAGGCACGAGGCAGTGTTATTACAAAGCATGCCGAGGCAGCTGCAGTAACTTTCAATATTCAGAGGCCCAGCTAGTGATCTGCAGCCTGCACACTATTTTTAGATAGTAATAAATAACATTCATAAGAACCCCGACCACCGTCTCCTTTTTCCAATATGCAACAGCAGCAGGGTTTGAATATGATAATCAATTTTGGGACCGAGTGTGAATCTGCGACTGACGCTGCTCCAGTCAAGGACAATCATCATCTGTTTCAGAAACCACAGTCAGCATGGCTGCCACTTATTTTCAAACTCATCAATTTCACTTGAGGTGAACGTTTTGCCTTTGAAACAACAAACTGATTTTTCTAGTTTGTCCATGTAAATTATTAGTGTGAATACAGATACATGCTACGTAAATGTGAAAGTGGAATCCATGGCGTTAACCCTAAATTTAATGGAAACGCATTAAACACCAGATGCAAAGTTAATTGCATCTGCATTCTTATGCCCATTGTCCGCATGTTTTCTTTTACACCAATAAGGCTAAACATTTTATTTTCATCTCCATTTCTAATGTCAAAACATTTGTATCGCAATTTCATAATTGCACACAAAATACACATTCTCCACATAATAAGCTGGTTTGGGGCTATTTTACCGTAGACAACAAACAAATGAGTGTGAGAAGAGCAGATGTCCCTCCAACCTGTTTGTGTTCAGATGTACCCTCTGTTTGGAGCCATTACCCAGGGTGCAGTTCACCCCTGGAGTCCACCCAACTCATCAGCAGTTGGCTCCAGCGAAGACAAAACTCTGTCCGTGCTGTCGGAGACGATGGTTGACGCCCCCAGTAGAAAACCGAGCAGCTGGTTGTTAGATACCCTTTTAATTCCAACACTGTAAGACCCAGAGGACAGGCTTGTAAAAGACATCTGCAATTTAATGCAATTTCCCGTAAGTTGAGAGTTCAAGACCGGGGATCAGACACCACCGCAAGTTGTGAATTAGTGAACACTAACATTCATAAGAACCCCGACCACCGTCTCCTTTTTCCAATATGCACCAACAGCAGGGTTTGAATATGATAATCAATTTTAGCAAATTCAAATCTTTGACGTCCTCTAATGCATTCAGAGAACACCACGAGAAAATTAAAAAATACTTTCCCTGCATATGCAGTGAATGCTAAATAAACCAAGCGCTTCATGGCTGCTGGTCAGCAACATGATCGACGTACTCCAGTAAGACACAATTCCATGAAATAAGAAGATAAATTGAAGCATGTAAATCAGAAGGCCCGTAAATCAAGGCTTATCTCTTGAGGCCAGGGACGATAGCAGGATGTGAACCTACGAATGTGTTTTTACGCACATGTACATCTCCTCTCGTGCACGCACACTTACCCTCATGACAAGTGTTAGACGGAGTGCTGGAAATGAGGCCGGATGTTTCTCCGTTATGTGTCCATCTCTGGAGAATGGAGCGCATGCTGCCTCAGCATCACTCCAATCAATCTATCACCGCAGAGCAAATAATCGGATTAATCTTTAGAAGAGAGGAATTCATCTTAAAAAGGTAGATGGCTTTTTTTTTCTTACGTACTCAGATGTCCTGTTTGTACGGGCCTATTTTTCCCAGCCATTTCTTTTCTTCTTGATATTCTTGTTCTTCACCTCAGTAAGAGTTGAAGTAAACAACAAAGGAGAAAGGACCTGCAGTTGTGTTTCTGTCTGTATCGTTAAGACATAAAACAAAAGGTGCGTGAAACATTTCAGATCTGATGAGAACTGAAGCAATCCAACTGAATAAAATCAACATAATAACCCATTAAAATCCGACACCTTAATCTTTGAAAAACTAATTTTAGGAACTGTTACTCAGATGAGAGAGGTTAAAAAACATTAAGCAAATAAATGATACATTTTCATCATGCTGTGCCATTTAGACATCTGTTATGATCATTTCAGATGGAGAAGTCAGCTGTAATTTTCACCACTGGTTTTTACAGCTTCTCCCTGCGATCTGATCTATTTGGATTTGTAAACAAACAAGTAAATTGCATATTATTTTATATGTCCAATCCAATCCAAATTAATTCAATAATATTCTTTCAGATGCAGAACATCCAACAGCAGTTCAAGCAGGCCAACAATGTAGCCGGTCTATATCCAGTCTTCACAGTAACCAGCTTAGGGTTCAGAGTTTCACAACAGATCCTTTATCTGAGTGGAAGACAGACATGTGACAAAGTGCTAAAGTTTGTCTCCATTTACCACTTGGCCCTTAAATATATTTCTGATTTATTTAATCTTTCCATAATTGGTCATAATGCTTTAATTTAAACATTGCTGTCATAACCTAACTTCCCTCACTGTCAAAGCATTATGTTGCCATCAACATCCATGTGTGTGTGTGTGTGTGTGTGTATATATATATATATATATATATATATATATATATATATATATATATATATATATATATATATATATATATAAAGCTAACTCTACTATACCTTTAGATTAATGTGAATGTTTATTTTGTTTCAAGGTAAATTTCTGGTATCTCATTTGTTTCTTTTATACTCACCATTGCTTGTCCTTTTGATGCTACAGTCCTAGCAGGTGTATGGGAGGGGCCGGCCCACCAATTCCTGTTTAAATGGACGTATGACATCACTGATTACATCACTGGCCACTACCAAATGAAGGGTTTTCTTTTTTTTCTATTGTATTATTTAGCTTCTTTAAAGTAGCCTTTTGGGTTGCCCTGTATTAAATGTTTTATTTTGCAGATCTTTTGGTTATGTAGGGGAGTTTGCAAGTTAGATTAATAATTTGATTCCTGTTCCTTTGTTTAAATTGTGTTGCTTGGTTTGACCTGTTTTCTCAGGTGAAGTCTAATGAAGAGCAGATGTGTTGCCAATTCTGTGTAAAACCAGTACGATTTTTGGCCACATGAGAGAGATGTCAGCAATTAAAGATATTAAACAATAAAATCCAGCAGAAAATATTGGGATTTGGCTGCTTTCAAATCAGCTTTTATAATCCTCTGACGACACTACTTCATAAGGCACGAAATATATTATTCCAGACAGATATAATTAGGTAGCAGTCTTTGTGCTCACTAGGTTGCAACTCATTGTGTTTCATTAGATGCCGCTGCATGATTCCCACCTGATCCAAAATGTCTTCTGCTCACACTCAAAACAGCTAGAAACTGCTGGTGCTAGCATATGTTTGCCCTTTGAGAAAATTCTCATTTCTTAAATTAGTCTTGCTTGATGAAACAAAATGTATTTTTTTTAGCCTCATTAAAAAAAAAGAAGAGTTAAAGATAGAAATTCTGATTCACACCAAACTTTTCTTCATCCATTTCTGTTTGACAATTTGAGGCAACAGCAATCGAAGGTGCGGCCATAAAATTCAGACATTTCTCTACCACCGTGTACTTAAAAGTTCTGATTGACCCAAATCCAATATTGCGATGTAAGGTTTCACTACTTTAGCTTGTTGAGGTCAAGCTGTGAGGCGAAGTAACGTCCGTTGTTTGCAACTGACAGTCAGGCATGAAAGGAGATTTCTGCTGGCACTTTTAAGAAAAGGTTGGATGTGACAATTAGACGTAGTCGAGGCAGTTGCACAAGAATGGGGGCAGAAGAGAGAAGCAGGCGAACACATAAAAACACACACACTCTTAATAAGATCTCCAAGGTGATGCCTGCAAACTCCTCCAGGTGGTTTCCAAGGCGTACCCAGACACAAAGTGTATATATTATCCCTCCAGCTGGGTCTGGATCAACTCAAGTGTTTCCTCGGAGCAATTAAAGCCTAAAAGACTGTAAAAAGTAAAGAAGCATTGCAATCAGATTGTTGACTTACTTCAGTAAGCAGCAAACACAAGTTAATTATATTTTAAGTCATTTGGTTCTGTTGAGATTCCATTGTGTATACTTGGATTTAATTTGTCCTTCACAATATTTTACTGACTTCCCAGATTAATCCACTCCAGACTATTTCCAGTGTGGATGTAAAGTGCAAGTGTAAGATTATGAGGACAGAAAATCATAATTTACCAAAATAAAAATAAATAAATAAATCAACTAACTTAATCGAGACCAGAAATACAAAAAACGTGATCTATAAGTTTTTGTTGTGTTTAGGCAGAAGGGTTGTGGTTCCTGTCTGACCGAGTAACATGTATAATTCTTTAATTTACAAAAACAAAAAAGTATTATTATTTTCCATTTCAGTGGAATTGTTAAGGGACTACACAGACTAAAATGTTTTTAGGGAAAACAAAAACAGCAAATTAATAATGCAGATGACAAAAACAGAGAGAACAAGTTCATTTTCAGGGCAGGGTTTGTGTTGAAATTCGTCTCATCTGCTGTTGTTGTTGAGGAGAAGTTAATGAGTGCAAATGAAGCGTTTTATAAACATAAAATTTCCATTGCAGAGAGCCGTGAGTCACTTTTCCTGATTGTCCATGTGTATGAAGGCTGAGCTAAGCACTCAGTCCAGATGGCAGATTATGAGCAAGGTCACACACACAGATAAACACGACAGATCTTAACGAAATGATTCCCCGCTGTTGCAAATCAATGAGGGCATGTCAGCCTGGTGTTTGTTTGAGTACCATTCGAGAAAGTTGGCACTGAAGGCCTCACCTGCCTCATGAAAGGTCAAAGTTCATGATCTACCAATAGGAAAGACATTGGGAGGAAATAGAAAACCCAAATATTCTACAATATTATCATAGATGATTTATGGCAGTTAGGAAAATTATTTTTTTCATACAGGGTGAGGACAGTTTTTCCCTTTAAGAAAGACAATTTCTATTAAAGCTTTTGTTAGTATTTTGTGTTGATTCAGATCATCTTCAATTCTGAAAACTGTTTATTTTATTTAGGTGTGACAAAAAAGCAAAATCATGGCAAATAGCTTTGCAATGCACTTTGTGATTGATGCCTGCCAACACAATGTATGTACTAAAATTTTGTATTAAAGTTATGACTGTGTAAATTAGTTGGCATTTCTTTCATATTCATTGATTCCCTGATCATCTGAGGCTGAGAGTTTAATGTTTTTTATAGTATACAAGTTAGTACCCACATATACTGAAATAATTGTAACAAAATTGCTCCCAATGTCCTGCTACTGGAGCCAATTTCAAGCATTTGGCATGCTGAGGTGATGAAATCATCAGTGCAGGCAAAGTATTTGAATAATGTAGCGTAAAACTAAGCGTACGCTGCAAAAACACTGTTTGTTCTAGTTTCAAGTGCAACTATATTACTTCACTTGGAATAAGGCAAAACAAACTTACAAGTAACTTTTCAGAGTTGGACAGTGCTTGATCATTATTTACTTAAACGCGATCATCTTTTCATGCCATTAAGATGTTTTATTTTGTACATTTGGGGACAGCAGATGAAAGATAACAAGCATTTTGAACTGAGACAAAAAGTGTTGCTTTTGACAATAAAACTTGAGTGACATTATGATGTCAATAATATCAGCTGTGCCGAACTGCGGGCTTTGAGCACAGCAGAAGGACCACTTAGCTGGATTAGATGAGCTTATCTGAGTGACTCTCTTTTGGATGACTTCAGTCAACACACATGTGCTTGTACATGTTGACCAGCTTCAAAAGCAAATTCTTTTTTGTGTTTTGCAAACTACTGGCACAACAGTGGTTAGAACTTATAAGGTAACTCCATTTTTTTTTAAATTACTCATTCTTTAATTTAACCCATTCATCCGTTTAAGTGGATGAAGTCAGGTGGAACTGCAAAAGTAGTTTTTGGTCTTTGGCTAGAGGCAAATCCAAAAGCAAGAAAACACAAATTTCAAACATAGTCTGCCAAAAACTAAGCTGAAACACAGGTATTTTTCCGCCTGCTTCAACCAGATGAGACATCTCACTGTCTAGTATCAGAGCCCGCCATCACAAAGGGGCCAACTCGGTTTTGAATTTTCATTTTCCTTCAGCTGTGTTTTAAATTAATTTTCAGACAAGTAATTTGAGGATAAACATTCTGCTTTCCAGCCTATTCCATCTAATGGAGCATCATTTTTAGTGCCTCCTCACTTTGTTAAAAGCAGTGAATAAAATAATGTGAAGTGGACTGATTAAATGGGCCTCGGATTCAATTACACGGGCTGCGGAGGTTGCACCGAGAGCTAGTTACTGGGTAGCAGATACTATTGGAGTCTCGGAGTGAACATCATCAAAAGAACTGGCAATGTAGCTTAAGGGGGAGTCGTGAAGGAATAGCTTAAAAACAACCGTAATCGTGCTGTTAAATGATCAAATGTCTCATCTTGTAGAAAAAAAAAGAGCTAGATTGAGCGGTGTATTGACTTTACCACATGTGAAAACCCTTCACCTAAATTCAGAGGGATAACGTTTCAAAGGTTTACTACTCCAAGCATTTCCCACACTCAAAAGGAGAGTAATCAAGGACATCAAATGCAATGAGATTCTCTGATTGTCATTTTTGGACCAAAGACTTTGTCTCATGTATCAGAATAGGAATAATGCAGATCTTTGATGTAAATGTTCTGTTTTTTTCTATTTTGTTTTGTTTTGGTTTTTTTTTTTTCATTTTCTTTTGAGAAGTAAATGCTAAATATTAAACATATGACAGCACTATAAGGAACAAGCTGTCAATAATCATCCGATGTTGGCTGTGAGTCAACCTTAAATTATTAGAAAATGAAAAAGGGAAATTCAGCCTCAATTAGAACAACCTGAAGAAAGATGCCACAAAGTTTTTATACTTTGCGAAGCCATTTGCAACAGATCAGTCCACAGTTTTATCATGTCTTTCCCATCCAGATCATGCCAGATCAACTCTAAAGCTCTAGATTCCTTATGACTTACATGAAAGCCATTTTCTTTTGTCATTGTCAATTTTTGGAATTACTGAAACTTATAGTTGGACCCCAGGGAAACAGGACATCATAGAACAATAATTATATTTGCTAGCCACTCTAATCAACTTAAAAATAATATAAATGAAAAAGAAAAATGCTCTAGTTTTCGTAGGAATTTTTAGGGCAACCAAAAGACAAATGACCAAATCTTTAAGAATTTTAGATGGAAATGTAAACTTCCTGATCTTCCTCTAACTGTCACGGTACCACACGATGCCGTCTGACGTCTGTAGCCAAAACAGAGCCAGGAGGCATTAAAACTGTGTTTTTGTGCAAAAAGCATTCATTTGACACTGTTGCTAAAATTACTCCTGCATTGTATTCATTCCAAACAAAAATAATAATAATAAAAAAAAAAACCTCTCAACAATCTGCAGTCCATTCTCTTGCCTATCATATCCCACAATGCTGAGTGCTGAAATGATCGCAGCAGTCGGGGGGAATGAAAACACTAATCTGGTGTCAGCAGGATTCGCTTTCTTTTGTATCTGAAAAAAGCTTGAACACAAAGCAACATGAACTGCGGAAAAAGAAGCTGCAACTTAAATTACATTTAAATACAAGTGATATGCATGATGCCTTCCTGTTTTCTAGAAAAAATGCCATCCGTCTGTCAGGTAAATTCACATATTGGGAGATTTTTTTTTTTCTTTTTTCTTTTTTTTTAGCAAACCCAAAGGGTTTGCAACAGAAAACCTGCTCTGCCCAGCTTAAACCCTAC